TGCAGGTTAGGGGATCGTGGCTGAGGGAATGCCATACACCGTGCTTGGGGGGCTGCTGAATAAATGCAGCACAGAGGTAATGAGCTCCCCTCTGCATGGGTGCCCGTTTCAGCCTCCTCTGCAACTCAATCACTGACACACAGCTAACCAAATTACTGCTCGGTGCTGGAGCCTCCTGTTATGTGGCTCAGGAGCCTCATTTGCAATCACCATTAACTGGAAAAGCTGCATGCCTGCTCTGTGCCCAATAGAGTCCAGTGTCATATGATATCCACGGAAGCCAAGGGGTTGGAAGGGGCTTCAGAGGCTTCAGAAGGAAGCTCATAGAATGCAGACCACCTCTCTGGAGCCCCCTCTCCTTTCCCTTTCCCAGCCCTTCTCAGGTGCTCATGAGCAGGGAAGAGGCTCCAGACTGCGCAAAGGAAGACGATGGTGCAATGTTCAGTGGGCTGGGAGTGGGACCCTCAGAGGTGGCTGTGTGCACAAGAACTGGGAAACCCACGTACCAGCTGGTACACAATCCTGTCAGAAGCCGGTGACTGCTTCAAAGCAGGTATTCATGTGGAACACTCCAAAGGCTGCCTCGGAATCTCTATAAAGACTGATCAGGTCTTCTGCTTTTCTCATGCCACTTGCTGTGCTGTGTCAGGTAGAGTTAGCAAAGTCCTGGGATGGCTCAGGATTTTCAAAGATTACCCCACAAAGGGTAGAGGCAATTTTTGGCTTTACCGTGCACTTCACATCTCTTCTTTTCTCTCCTTTGAGATATCCTGAACTCTCCCCATTTCCTACATATAGCTCCCCACTTCCCACCTCACTCAACACACATTGATCCACAAAGACACTCTCAGATTTTATATCTGCCAGACACTTAAATTAAACCACATTGTCCTATAGCTTCTCCTATTCTTTGCACGCAGTAGTGTTTGTGTGTGTGTGTGTGTGTGTATGTGCTTCTGTTGATAGTCCCAAGGTTAATGGATTACAACTGACAAAAGCTGCAGGGACCTGGCTGGCTGGAGGGAAGAATAGTCTTCCCTCCCCAGGGAGGTGGAGAGACACCCTCAGGTCTGGATGCAGAGGTGGGCACTGCAGTTTAGGGGTGGGTGGCGCTGGCACTGGGTGGAAGTATCAGAGAGAACCATTCAGAAGTTTGCCAGAAAGCATTTTGCTAGTCTTTTTTCAGAAACTGTTTATCAGAGCCTGTGGTTAAGAGGAGGAAGTCTTACAGCCGCCTCAGTTTAGCCGCTGTCCACTTGTAAAGTGCTGAAGACTGACCTCAGCGGGCTGTGGTGGACACTACAGACCCTTTCCTGGAGCAGCCTGGGTGTGGTGACTGGCCACTTCACTCTGCAAAGGGCATCTCTCCAGACAAGGTAGCAAGCAGGGTTCCCAAGGGGAGCTGGTGCCTATGGGAGAGGAGCCAGGAGAGAAGGGCTTCTAGATTTGGAAACAGGCAAAGGATGTGAGGGAGGAAGGAGTGCTGAATCAGGACCGGACACCAGAACCTCAGGGGCGCCAGCCTGCAGCTGGCTCCCACACTGCAACAACCTATGAGAATGAAGAAGCAGGGGCAGCCTGCCAAGAAAGCTGGCTCTTTGGAGGCCACTTTTCCTGGGGAGGGAAACAAAAGTGAGGGCATTGTTTGGAACCCTGTCTGTGCAAGGAGCCATCTTTCCAGGCAGAAACAGTCAGACATGCTGAAACATAGTCTTATTTGCTGCACCATCTGGAGCACCATGGACTGTACTGGGACTGCTAGCACTACCTTTTTTTGAGACAGGGCCTCACTATGTCATTCAGGCTGGCCTTGAACTCACTGTGTAGCCCAGGCTGGCTTCAAACTCACAGTGATCCTCCTGCCTCAGCCTCCAAAGTGCTGGGAGTACAGGTGTGTATCATCATCCCCTGCCCAACACCACCTTACTTAAAGCTGAGGTCTCTCATGCTCAAAACCAGCTACTTTAAAGGACCCTTTTAATTAGGGTGGGCTTAATATGTAATGTATCTAAAGAGGATATCTGCAGGACCTGGGAAGGCTCTGCCTTCCATGTAGAGGGGAAGGCATCAGGCTTGAAGGAATTCCAGGTTACTGAGTAATCACCATAATAAGACTGAGAATGAAGGTGACCTATAGAAGCATGGTAAATATATGATTTCTCTTGTCAGTAAGTGAATTTTGATTATAACTCAGTACTTGCCTCAGGTCCTTAAATGCTGTTAGAATTCTCAGGAAAGCCCAGGATAAAGTGTAAAAGATGAAGTGTAAAAATGCTTCCACAAAGAAAAACACAGGCTTCCCAGCCTTCTTTGTACCTATGTGCAACCCAGAAAAAGAAAGCAAGGCGGTAGTCTTTCTGTCTTGGTCACAAGTTCATGTACCAGCCTGTCATACAAAGTGCAGGGAAGCACCGCAGATCAATAGTTATTCTGGGTTAACATTGCCGCAGCTTTCTATGTTTCTTTAAAAGAAAAGGATTTAAAAAATAAACCATAGCTTAATGCAATGAAGGCATATTTATGTTGTCTACTTAAGGAAATTAGGTTTAGAAAGAACTCTTTTTGCACTTCTGGGTACTTTTTAATCTAAGCAGTGGGCAGTAATTCTCCTAAATGGTTATTTCTTTAGAAACCCTGAAAAAGGCTGTTAGCCCTCAGGTATGACAAGTGGGTAAACTTACCCACCAAGCCCCCTGGACCCTGAAAGAGTGCACAGTTCTTGTGGAGAACCCCACAGAGCCAGCTCAGCTGCCTGGGAGCAGCCCTCTGTACCCTGTGTGCTGTGCCCCAAGACTTGCTAACATGAGTAGCACTTGATGCACTTTGTTTATCTGCAGCAATGTTCCCGTGAGCAAAATCCCGAAGTGCTTTTTTATAGGAAATGGAGAGCCAAATAAGAGTGTATGTGAAACAATGAGCCATGGAAAATAGCCTCTTAAAGCATGTGTCACCTATTTTTATGTTCTTGCTTATATGATTTCTAACTTGCTTAAAGGCTTTAAGTGACAACTTTTGAAATTCCTACAAATTATATGCGAAAACACATATTTTCTTTTTAAAGGAGAATGTTACAAAGTATATTCACCCTAGCACCTCTGGCGGCCTCACAAGGCTTTGGGGGAGGTCGGACAGGGGAAGGGAAAGCTCAGAGAGGTTGAGCTACCCAGGGTCACACAGCTGACCAGCACTAACTCGAGGTGCCCAGCCCTGATTCAGGACTCCTGGGTTGGGGAGTGAGGCTAATATCAGGCAGACATTGCTGGAAAACATACACAGATCATATCCCTACACACTATACCTAGACCTTAGCACCCATTCCTTTCCCATCATCAGCTACAGTCAAGGAACTATCTAAATTCAAACTTCAGAAATGTTAAGTCTCACACACAATTTGAAAGGCATTAAAATGCAAAGCAGGAGTAAACAAAATTTCTTGCCACAGGGAACTAACTAATGTAAAGTGACAAAATAATGAGAGTTCAAATGCAGTCTCAAAAGTGGCCATAAAGTGGAATTCAGAATTATATTTCAATATGTATACTATACATTGCTTTGCTAAGGATGACTGGTAGAGAATTCTCATTTATGAAACTAAGCCATAAAGGAAAAAAAAATATTGGGATGAGAGCAGAGAGAGAGAGAGAGAGAGAGAGAGACAGGGCCAGTTGGTGTGAATGGTTGGATGAGACGGTATTAGTCACAGCTTAGGGACCACAGAAAGCCCATTCCTGGGTAGAGCAAGGCATAGCAACACAGCACAGTCTGTGGACTCCACTTATGACCGGCCTTGGTGCATGGCCTCAGGAGCTCCAGGCAGTTCCTCGAGACTTCGAGGAGTTGGGCATGGGGAGGCAGCACCGACTTGCAGGGCTCCAGCTGAGGACAGTCTGACTGGCGAGTTTGTAAAGTGATGAGCAACACACAGCACTGGCCAACTGCAGTGGTCGGAATCACAGATCTGTCTTCACGGAGACATCTGGCAGCCCTGCTGCAGACACGGCTCCTCCCTTCTGTTCCCCCACCATCCAGTACAGTGAGGAGTCAGGAAAGCAACTCCTTACAGCACCTCTTTTTATTTTAGAACACAGCCAGTGGCTCGGAGTCTTGTGTGTGGGGAGTTCAGCTGGGCCCTCTTGCCACCTCTCACCCCTGTCTTCCCCTCCACCTCTCACAGGTGGCTCATTCATTTCCCCTCAGTCTTGCTGTGACACACGTGGCCGTCCTTCCAGATGCAGGTTAACAGCCACTTAGGCACCAGTGCAGGGGTGGCAGCCAAGCAGTGAGGCAGCCACTGGCACCTCAGTGCACAGCCACCTGCAGGGCTCCCAGCAACAGTGGCTCCAAGCTGCTCTCAGTATTATACAATTGAAACACAGCCGCCCTCTTCCTCTGGCTCTGTGTAAAGTGCACATCTAGCTGGCAGGAAGGAATAAGCTAAACTCCTCTCAACACCACATACACACACACACACACACACACAGAGCCAAGGGTAAATACTTTACAGAAAGTGTCCCCTTGCCTCATGGATTCCCAGGTCCCTGTCTCAGTTTCCCAGCCCTGTAGCTACTTCTGTATTAGTCAGAGGGACTTCCAAAATCCTTGTACATAGCTACCTTTCCCAACACATGGTCAGACAGCAATTTGGGTAACTTTTCAAATTCTATCTTCTGAGCCCTTGCCCACAAATATTTGGGAGAGAGGTTAGGCCCTCCCCCGCTTTCATCCCCCATACTACTCAGGCTGACAGTGTGGGGAAGACCCTGGACCTTCGCTCCAGTGTTTGCTGCCAGTCAGGGAAAAGCACACTGTCACCAATAGCACCAAGCCACCCAGAGAGAGAATGAGCCAAGGCAAGCAAACCCAGCTGCTACTCCATCCTAGCACCAGCAAATCAGTGTTTTCAAGAGCTCCGCGTGCACACTGGAGGGTACTGACACCTCCGGAGCAAGAACTAGAACCTGAGCGGAATGAATATAAAATGATGAAAGACAGTGACTCACCTTTAGGTTGTGTGTGGGGTTGACGACACAGACAAGTTGCCCAGCGGCGGAGAAAACCCTTTTAGCTTTATAGTGCTGAAACCGGAGGTGAATGAGATCCAACACAGCTCCAAAGCACTGAGTAAAGAAAAGCATCACAACTTTTGGGGGGGGTTTTGGCACAGGAAGCCAGCGAAGGAAGCTGTAAGTCCTTGGGCTCTGGAAGGAGTGCAGCCTCTGAGACACTCCGCTCCAGCCCGGCTTAGCGTGCCTTCATATTCATCATCAAAATAAGACGGTTAGAATCTTGCAGCAGTGAGGCAGCCAATCAAAAGGACAGAAATGTTATCCTTGAGGTGCAGAGACAGCCAATAACAAATGCCTCCCCTACTGAAACTCCCTGATGAATTGAGCCTGACGGAGAATGTATTATTGAACATTACCATAGATCAGCACATTGCATTTATCTTGTGATTACAGCCAACCATACATAATGCTGGGGAGATAGGCTGACAAAATTGATTGCTTAATGTGTCTCCATTTATTAATTGACTTAATTTAACATGAGAGCCTTTCTTAATGCTCTGACAAAAAACGTAAAGCATTTAAACTGCCAAATAGTGAAACACCTCGCTCCAAACTAGGCAGATGGATAACGAAGATCGTGGCTCGGCTCACCAGATCTGCTTGGGAGAAAATCAAATATTACAAGATTCTGATTCCAGATAAGGATTTGGCAGCAGCAGAAATGTGTATCTTTCAATCTTGCACTCTGATACTCTATAATTTGGATTTACAGCCCCTTGATAAGTCTGTCTCCACTTTTTATTTTTAAAAAAGCCCTCAAAACAAAAACAACAACAAAAACACCTGACCAATGCATTTGGAATTGGGAGAATGGAATGCATATATGTATTTTTTTCAGAATACTGTAATTACTGAAGTCTTTTTTATTAATGCATAAAAATGCACAGAGAATGCTTCTAAAAATAATGAAATCCCTGATGCATGAATGCACACACAAAGAAAAACCTACATAGAGAAGAAAGTGTCTTGTAAATCAGCAAAATTATTACAGATGCAGAGAACCTTTGCCTGTCATTCATTTGCATATTGGTGGGCAGCAAATTGCTAATTAACCACAAGATTGTTGGAGACATTAGAATAGAGTTTAAGAACACACAGCAGCATTTTTAAGTGCTGGAGCAGGCAAAGGGACATTCCAGTCCTCACACTGCAACCCAGCACTCACTCCCTACCCCTCCCAAGATGGGAGGCACCCCACTGGCTCTTGAAGAAAGCCTCCCAGGCAGGACATAGAGGCCTTTAGTGTTTCTGAGATTAAGCCCTGAAAGTTTGTTTAATCTTTGCCACTAAAGCCAGGAGAGTTACGTGTTTTGTATTTCTCCTCTTCTGGGCAGACTGCTGTCTGGGGCAAGATTAGCCTCAGGAGTGGACTGCTGCCTCCTCCGAGTGTGAGCCCATTCCTCCTTCCCCAAAGCCCCTCTGCTCTGCCTACACTGCTTAGGGTGCAAAGTATGGAAAGCATGTGGACATCTGAGATAGCTAAGTTTGTGACCTGGTCCAGCACTGAAACTAAGAACAGATTAAAATAGGAGAGGGAAAAAAAATGTACAGGCTTAATGAGACCACACAGAGCCCAGGTTATTTTAACTTAAATTTAAAACCAGACCAATATTTTAAAGGACAAGCTGAACATCAAGTAAAATTTTTAATTTGCACTTTTAAAAATAATTGTGCTATCAGAGATATATGTGCACCCGTGTTTATTGCGGCACAGTTTGTAATAGCTAAAGCTTGGAAACAGCCCAAGTCCCCATCAACTGGAGACTGGATAAAGAAGATGTGGGGTTTTTTATAAAATGGAGCACTACTCAGTCATAAAGAACGAGAAACTGGAGTCATTTATAGCTAAATGGATATATATTGAGGCCATACTCTTAAGTGAAATAAATAAGACACACATGTGTAAATACTGAATAGTTTCTCTAGTGTGAGAAACTGAGAGTGTAAATAAG